CCCCAAAACCCCAAAACCCCAAAACCCCATAAGGCAAATTTTGATAAGATAATGAAAATCCAAACTTAAATTCAAAATACAAAAAAATATGGTAGATATTGCAGATTCATAAAAACTAAGTTTTAAAACTCATTTGAGAAATCTTTTAGCTTCTAAACTTATTGTCAAAGAAATTGTTGATTTCCTATCTATCAGAGACATTGCCAAATCTGAAATTATTGCTAAGCTATTCAAGGAAAGACTCAGCTCCACCTAGCTAAATATATACAACAATGTGGTTATTAAAGCTTCGGAATTTTAGGATTTTAACAAATTCCTGACCTTTATTGATTGGTATCAAAATCGAATTGAAAGTGTGTATCCATAGACTTTCTTTTTGTGCATCAATAGCTACTATTTGAAAGAAGATATATAGGAACTACAAAGACCTCTGTTTTTATCATATCTTGAAAAACTCTTCGCAAGACTAATTAGCAATAGCAAGAATTTGATTTCATTAAGAATTAACATGGCAAGATAGCATGGAGATAGGATCAATGATCCATTATGTGACTTATTAGTTCCTCTCCTCAAGTAATTAGTATCAGGGATAATTGATGAATAAGGTCAAATCGTTTAAAATATGCAAGAACTATGGATTGAATCAATGGCTACTGTTGAAATGATAAAATAAATCAGCTAATTTGAAAGCCTCAAACTCTTAAAGATTATTAATTGTACCTATGTCACTGGAGAATTCCTTAGAAATCTAAGATCAAATAACTTAAGAACATTAGATTTTCGTAGTAGCTACTAAATTGAATTTAATCAAATCCTTGAATGCGTGTAAAATAATTCAGGAACGATAAATAATCTCTATGTGGACGGAGAATATGTCAAAGCTCAGTAATTTGTAGAATTAATATAGAATCTGAAAAATATACAGGAGCTAGGTATATTTTTTGGATAAAAATTAAAAGACTCTTTTCTTTTTGAGCTGAATTAAAAGGTTACTGGTGAGTCACTAAGAATATTCAAAATGAGAAAGGCATATAAAGTAAACAATCAGATCTTGAATCTATTTTTCACAAGGTGCTTTCCAAACTTAAGGAAGCTTAAACTAGATGAATGCAGAAATATTTAAGATTCAACGGTCGTGCTAATTGGCACAAACTGCCAAAAATTAAGATCTTTGAGCTTAAATTGGTGTTAGTAACTCAAAAGTGATGGAATTGAGAAGGTCTTACTTAATTGCAAGCTACTTAAGAAACTGAATTTAGTAGGACTCAAATTATTGCAAGATTAAGCTTTTGAAAGAGCGATATAAATTGAAGAGGAGAAAAAGAATGATATTCATGAACTTAGAACTGCTCTTGATAGCTTAAAATTAATGAATTTAGCGAGTTGTGATTATGTTTCAGACACTCTGTTGTATAAAATAAAAAGAAATCATAGATCAATGGTCATCTTTAATTATTATCAAGATGAAGTTGAATTATGATTTATTTATTTTTCAATTCTTGAATTCTTATTCTTATTGGCGCATGGGGTTTTGGGGTTTTGGGG